GTCTTCAAAACAAAATAATTTAAAAATTTCACTAAATGTGCTTTTCTTTGATTTAGTTACTTTTTTGGGAATATTGCAAGCACTAAGTGTTAAAGGGGAGCTATAATTTGGCAATATTGTAATATTATATATAATCATCCCCTATATTTACCATATATGTGTAGGTAAGTTCTGAAAAATAACTTGATACGTAGAATTGCATGCAGATTTATTTAGCTCAATCCTGGAACTGAGCACCTCCATTATATCTCCATGAATCACTTTTATAACCTTTGGCCTTTTCTTTAGTTGAACATGATAAGTACAGAAGAGGAACAGAAACAATGTTTTTATATCTCCTCCATTGCATAGTGTGCCTTCGGTGTGCCTGGAGTGAACTGGATTTTAATGTCAATTGTTAAATATTTAAAATGTATTGAAAAGAAAATGGAGTACAATATAAAAATTGTTAACTCATGTTATAATGGCATAGTTTATTCAATGGCATAAATTTTAGAGGACCAATGGTGTCCCTTTACTATGTGTCTCCTGAATTGTAATATATTTTGCAACTAATTTGCTTAGGAACAGTGTGATAAATCTACCTACACTTTATTATAAGTGTTAGAATGAATGTGTTGCTATGTAGTGTCTGTTTTGCTGGAGCAAAAGGAGTTAAAAGAAATTACGTTCCAAACTGTAGGAATATTATCTAACCAATAGTACACTGACCTTCAGCTACAATTCTAATATAGTATCTGAAATCTCAGAACAGTCACGGGTGCTCCTGTGCTGAAAATGTTATGTCACATTCTATTACACTACATCTAATGGTGCTGTCATGTGAATTATATCCTTGTATGTGTACCCTGCCAAGTTTTCATTTCTTCAGTACTGAAGAGGGATTGAACCCTCTTTTACTTCCCATATTATGCAAGTGACCACGGATGCTCTTTGGCAATGAATGAATTAAAGGGTCTCAGCTAGCTTTGATTTTGTTTTTAAACCCCCTTTCTTTTAGATAAAACTTGAATGCATTTTATTCCACAGCAGTATTGCTTTGATGTACCATGTGGTTGTGAATGAGTTATTATTTCCATTTGTGAGACAAAAATGCACATTTGCTTGCAGCAGTTTTATGAAGAAAAATGAATTGCTTTAGAAAGAGATATATAAATAAATCTTCTATCTTCCATTTTTTTTTCTTCATTGTTATTAGAGACATCGTACAAAAATATTAAAACACTTCACTTTCAGAAGGATTCCCACGCAAGTCAAATTAACCCATTCCATCCCAAACTAGTGGTCACACTAGTTATGTTTTTTTTTTTTGCTCTGGAAATCAATGCAAAATACTATCTACCTTCCCTTCTGCTTTAACAGCATTCAGCACCTGACTTTAAAATAATTTTTCTACAAGGGCTCCATTTAGTTCTCTGCATTAGGCAGATGGATGCTCAGACTGATAAATTAAAGTTATATCTAAACTCAGGCCCCCATTAAATGTTGCTAAAACAAACATTTTAACTTTCCAAATATTTATACAAAACCATATTTTGTGTATTAATTGCTATTTGGGAATGCCAGCAAAAATTAAAAAAAAGTAAATGAACACCATTTTAATTTTGTACTTATTTCATTATTTACAGAAATATTGGTGGGAAGCATAAGGTTTTAAAAGGACACTATAAGCACCAAAACAACTTTAGCTTAATAGAGGCCCCTGTAGTCTCACTACTTTTTACTCTGCCATCAGGGGGTTAAAGAGTTTTTTCAACTGACATGACCACTTCTGCTTTTAGAAGTGCCCATGGTGGTAAGAGCCTGTATATGCAGCGTTCTGCTTGAAATATTGCATGTAGAAACATAGAAACATAGAATGTGACGGCAGATAAGAACCATTCGGCCCATCTAGTCTGCCCAAATACTTTTATTAGTCCCTGGTCTTATCTTATAGTTAGGATAGCCTTATGCCTATCCCACGCATGCTTAAACTCCTTTACTGTGTTAACCTCTACCACTTCAGCTGCAAAGCACTTACATTGTTGCTCACTCGTGCCCGGTAGAACACAGGTCCGGCGGCATACAGATCAGCCCGCTCAGCCAGGCCTCCACCTCCCAGGCATGCCTTGCGGCAACGCGCAGACGCTTCACTTCCTCACTCCTGCCCTTTCCCCTGGATGTGGGGAGAAGTGGGCGGAAGCATAATGTGCAGAGAGAGTGCAGCCAGGCGCAGGGAGTGAACAGTAATGAAGGTAAGGTATGTCAGAGAATGTGTGTTAGTCTGCTTCATGTATGTATGTTTATGTCAGTGTGTCTGTCTGTATGGGTCAGTGTGTGTCTGTTTTGGTCAGTGTCAGTCTGTATGGGTCAGTGTGTGTCTGTATGGGTCAGTGTGCGTGTCTGTCTGGGTCAGTGTGTCTGTATAGGTGTGTCTGTCTGTCTGGGTCAGTGTGTCTGTCTGGGTCAGTGTGGCTGTCTGTGTGGGTCAGTGGCAGTCTGTATGGGTCAGTGTGTCAGTCTGTATGGCTCAGTGTGTCTGTCTGTATGGGTCAGTGTGTGTCTGTATGGGTCTGTGTCATTCTGTATGGGTCAGTCTTTGTATCTGTATGGTTCAGTGTGTGTGTATAGGTGTGTCTGTCTGTATGGGTCAGTGTGTCTGTCTGGGTCAGAGTGTGTGTCTATATGGGTCAGTGTGTCTGTATAGGTGTGTCTGTCTGTATGGGTCAGTGTCAGTCTGTATGGGTCAGTGTGTGTCTGTATGGGTCAGTGTGTGTGTCTGTATGGGTCAGTGTGTGTCTGTATGGGTCAGTGTGTGTGTCTATATGGGTTAGTGTGGGTCAGTATGTGTCTGTATTGGTCATTGTGTGTGTCTGTATAGGTCAGTGTGTCTGTACGTGTGTGTCTGCATGGGTCAGTGTGTGTATATGGGTTAGTGTGGGTCAGTACGTGTCTGTATGGGTCATTGTGTGTGTCTGTATAGGTCAGTGTGTCTGTACGTGTGTGTCTGCATGGGTCAGTGTGTGTATATGAGTCTGTGTGCGTCAGTCTACATGGGTTAGTGCGTGTGTGTCAATTTTCATGGTCAGAGTGTGTTAGTCTGCATGACTGGGTGTAGCAAATGGGGCAGCAAATTTGTTTTTGCCTAGGGCGCCAAAAAAGCTTGCACCGGCCCTGGTTCTGTTAATAGCCTTCTAGAGCCTACAGGAGCCTACAGTGTGTAATAAAGTTCAGTTAACAGAAAAGGAGATAGAACCTTCTAAAGTAACACACACTGTGCTGTCACATCTGATGTAAAAGAAACATTTTTTCATGTAGACTTTGTGAGTCACAGCCAGGGGAGGTGTGCTGCATAAAGAAAAATGTAACTCATAAATGGCAGATAATTGAGAAGTGATAATGCAAGGGCATTATCTATATGCCAAAACATTATGCCAAAGTTGTTTTTGGTGCTTATAGTATCCCTTTAAGGACTATGGCAGAGGTTATGGCATGAATGCCATGCATGACATGTAAGGTGCCTTTACATGGCACATGAGGCTGCCAGACCTAAATGGGCCAGATGAGGAGATTTCCACAGCTGGCCCAGAAGTTCCCAGTGCCTGGAGCCAGGGCCGGCGCTACCTGTAAGGCGGACTAGGCAGCCGCCTAGGGCGCCCCTTGGGAAGGGGCGCCGCCAGGAGCGCCGGCCCCCTCATGCTGCAGCCGCCCGAGCGCTCTGTAGAGAGCCTCAGGCGGCTGCAGCTTTGCCCGGGCGGTGCGTCCATGAGGGCGGACCGCACCGCCCGGGCGCAGCCTGAGGAGAGGCTGACAGGAGGAAGCGCGCCTCTCCTGTCAGCTCCCTCTCTGTAGCGTGGCCGAGCCCTCTATTGGTCCGACCGGTACAGAGAGCAGCTGTCTCCTGTACCCGGCCGACTAACAGTAAGTAAACACTGAGTACTTCCTATTAATCGGCAGCTCTTTACTCCCTGTACGGTCAGTTCTACTAAGCTTTCGGCCACACTACCACACGAAGTAGGGAAGGGAGAAGAAAGAGAGGAGGGAAAAGAAAAGCAGAGAGGAGGGGAGAAAGAAGCAGAGGAGGAGGGAGAAAGAGGAGGGGAGAAGAAGCAGGGAGGGAGAACGAGGAGGGAAGAAGCAGGAGAGGGGAGAAAAGAGAGGTAGGGGAGGGAGAAAGAGGAAACAGGAGGAGGGGAGAAAAGCAGGGAGAAGGAGGAAAAAGAAAAAAGCAAGGGAGGAGGGAGAAGCAAGGGAGGAGGGAGAAAGAGGAGGGAGAAGAAGCAAGGAGGGAGGGAGAAAAGAGGAGGGAGAAGAAGCAGGGAGGAGGGGAGAAAGAGGGAGGGAGAAGGAAACAGGAGGGAGGGAAAGAAACAGGGAGGGAGGGAAGAAGGGAAACAGGGAGGAGGAAAGAAAGAAAGAAACAGGGGAGGGAAGGGAGGGGAAAGAAAAGAAACAGAGAGGGAGGGAGGGAGAGGAAAAGCCGGGGAGGGAGGGAGAAACAGGGAGGGAGGGAGGGGGGAGAAGAAAGAGGGAGGGAGGGGGGAGAAGGAGAAACAGGGAGGGAGGGGAAGAAAGAAACAGGGAGGGAGGGGGAGAAGGAAACAGGGAAGGAGGGGGAAGAAAGAAACAGGGAGGGGAGAGGAGGGGAGGGGGGAAGAAAGAAACTGACAGGGGAGGGGGGAGAAAGAAACTAACAGGGAGGTGGGGGGGGAAGAAACTAACAGGGGGGGAGACATTGACAGGGAGGGGAATTGACGGGGAGAGAGAAATTGACAGGGAGGGGGGAGTGACAGGGGAGGGAGGGGGAATGAGAGTAACAAGGGAGGGGGGGGAGAAGAGAGGGACAAGGGAGGGGGGAGAGATTGACATCCATCACACACACACACACACACAATCACACACAATGCACCCCTTACACACAGAAAAACACACAATGCATTACACACACAATGCATTACACACACACACGCAATGCAACCCTTACACACACACACACAGAAACACACAATGCATTCCTTATACACACTCAATGCACCCCTTAAACACACTCAAAGCACCCCTTACAGACTCACACACTTCATCCCTTACATACACAGAAACACACCTTGCAGCCCTTACACATACAGACACAGATTCACACAATGCATTCCTTACACACAAATCAGGACATCCCCTACACACTCCACCCCCTGTGAACAAACTCACTGGTGGAACATGAAGGTGGACCCTGGGACCCAGACCTTGAGCTGTGTAAAGGGCCCCCCCAAAAAATGGAGCTGCTTCTCGTTCTCCCAGAACATTGATTTTTGTGACCACAGTTACAAACAGCCTCCACAGATCCTGTTATACACCAGACCAGTGGAGCCAGACTGCAGCTAGAGCCCATCATCATCCTCATCTGCTTGTAAGTAGGTAATCTAGTATATTATTCGTGGCACTAATCTCTAATTTACCTCACATTAAATGGACACTATAGTCCCCAGAACCACTGCAGCTTAATGTAGTGGTTCTGGTGTCCATAGCCTGTCCCTGCAGGCCTTTTAATGTAAACACAGCGGCACTGCAGCACTAGCGTTAGTTAACATGGCAGGTCATATGGGTGGGGCATTGTGATGTCACGGGGGGGGGGGCGGCAAACTTTACTTTTGCCTAGGGCGGCAAAAATCCTTGCACCGGCCCTGCCTGGAGCACAAGGGAGACTGTGCACCACCTGCTCCAACAGGTTCAACATATGGCAATCCAGCGCTTCCCAGTGAGTCAGAGGTTATCAGATCAATGCTCTGACTCATTGGAAAAGTGCCAGACTGGAGATCTTTTGCAAGTTGAGGGGCAAAATTAAGTATATAATTATGTTGTTTTAGTAAAGAGCACCCCCAGTAAACACCCAACTTCAACATTCACACAACACTACAGACAACTACACATAAATAAACCCATAAAAAGCTTGACACACACCACAGGCAGCCCACATATACACACACATAACCACAGACACCCCCCACCACACACACAAATACTACAAGCAAACAACACAAGCATACTCAACATGTCAGACAGCCCACATGCACACACAGTACCACAATCAGCCCATATACCCACAGAGAGCCCCCACCACACACACACACAAAATATAAGCTACTTATCAGACGGAACATACATATATACTACAAGAGGCAGGCCTTATGCATACAAAATACCACAGACAGTCTGCACTACACAAATAATTATTACAAGCACCTCACATTTGCCAACTTATCTCAGACAGCCAACACTTACAATCGACAAATAGCCCACAAACATACTTCACACAACTGGTGCCCACATACACACGCAAACACAATTACCATAAACAGTCCATATATATGCATAATGCCACAAACAGACCCACACACATATATTCAACAAACAGGGCTCACACATATGCAACACACAAGGCCACCCCCACACAAATCCACAAAACAACTTACACAAACAGCTCCTGCAACACACACACACATACATACAATACCACAAACAGACCATATTCACACACACAAAACCTTACAAACAAGCCCCTCCACACACACAATACCAAAAATATCAACGCATACACAGCATTGCAGACAGCTCATATCACATAACACCACAGGCATCAATGTACCCAGGAAGGGTGCAGGGTGCAACGCTGGCCAGGCCCAGCACTCAAAGGGGGCTGGTCGGGGACAAGTACTGTTGGGGAGGGGGCATGGCACTAAAAGACTGTGTCCACTACGGGCAGCAGCAAGCTGACCCGTGTGAGTCATGCTGCGGCTGCCAGGAGTGGACAAGGGGGAAATGTGTGGCGAGTCACCACCACTAAGTGCCATGCCTACTGAGTATTCAGATGTTTGGTTTTGTATTTTGTGTCTCCAATGGGTATTGTTATGATTTTTCCCTTGTTAAATATGTTTCCCCTTGTATTTTACTTTTCAGCCACGTGGTGGCGCTCCCGCGCATGAAACCCCGTGCGTCAGACCACCCCCATACTCCATTTAGAATGTGTGGTTATACTGTTCACACCTCACTAATAAACCCCAGACCACAAGGGAACAAGCGGCACGTGCTTCCCCTGGGTGGCTGCCAGTTCGTATAGCCGAACGCCACCAGTGGGCAGTATTCGTATCCCGAACCGGCGTGCGCACCCTGTCTTCGGTCCCCGTGTCGGGGACCATCCTACCCACTCTGAAAGGAGCTGTAATCACTAGTCCCTTTCACTTACCTGGTACCTACGAGGCAAGGCTCGTGGCTGCCCAGAATACCTGCGTGGGGATGTCACCGGAGAGAGGAATGCGCGCCAGCAGGGAGTCTCTGGAGCTGTGAGTCGGTCTTACACCCACAGAGTCCCGCTGGCCACATGGAAGTCTGTGCCAACCAATTGGAGAGGGAGCGCTCATTCAAACTGTGTCCCGCCATTCTCCTGGTTGGTCAGCACGAGTAAGCACTGATTGGCAGGGAGCGGGCGACCAATCAGAGAAGGAGCACTTGTTCAAACGGGGTTTCGCGCCCATTCTTCTGTTTGGATGGCGAAACCCCTCTAGTCCCTGGGCGCTGATTGGCACGAATTGGTTCACGCCCTTTCAGCTGATTGGTTGTTGCTTGGTTTAGGTGCAAAGTCTGAATTCGCCAGACTAAACCAAGCAACGCCATGGAACTAATTTCGGGGATGTACAGAGCCTCGATCCCCAGACTTTCAGCTCTGATATCTCGGGCTCTGTACATCCGATCGCCCCGGTTTTTGGTTGCAATGTAGGTTTCAACCCTGTAACCCCTTCCCTTCCAGGGGCACTTTGCCCCAAAGTGTAATCCCCCTGAATGTAATATGGTTTAATGTGTATCCCTGTATACTGTTTGGTATCTCCCAGGGCGGGAGATGGCTATCTGTAACCCAGTCCCCTCCTGCCTGGGACTTAGGGAAGTGTATTGTGTGGAATGGAGACCCCCTGCAAGTGGTCTGTGCATAAAAGAAGCCTGTGTTCAATAAAGATAGTGAGAGTCTGGCATAGTCCAGTGCTTAAATCTCTAAAACTGTGGGTCATCATGTTGTTGGAGGGAAGGAAGATTTAGCCCCTGTGTCTGCTGTTCCAGCTTGCAGGGAATGCAACGTGAAAAGTCCTGGTAAGGACTAAGAGCTTCCAGGGCTAAATATCATCTCTGCTTGGGAGCGCATAGAGCTAAGTCCCCTAACCATGCAAGAGTTCCTGCTCGATTGAAGGAAGGGAACTAACGGGAGGTAACCGGTCAGATTACCGGAAAGAGGTCCCATTACACATTATTTCCTCCATTTGCAGGCTAAATTGCTCCTCTTCACACACTAACATGTTTGCCCTATATCCAGATATTACATTCCAATTCTGTTACGTAAACCGGAAGCTGTCATGTGTCAACCTCTACCTTCAGTGAAGCAGAAACTATGTCAGTTCTGATGCATTGAATGTTTCCTTGCAGCTATCAAGTCAAAATTAGATTTATAGACAGATTTATAACAGTTATAATGAATCTTGTAATATTGTCAGGAATATTAAAGAGAAGCAGAAATATCACTACTGTTACCTACAGTAGGTAATAGATAATAAGGCATGTGTAATAGATAATACTAATAGATGATAGATAAATATAATGTTATACTTGTTTAATACCCTTCTTAACTAACAAATATGACTAATGCAGCTACATCAATCTTATGTACAATACAAGTATTTGCAAGCTGGCATTGCAGCTTGTAATGATTTTTAAAGTGTACTTTTTAACCCCCTTTCCTCAACCCCAGCTGCAAAAATTAAGCCATAAAGTTTGACTTACAAAAAGTACTGCAGTATGTGGGAAAATAGAGTAGATGGGAGAGAAAGATGCCCTGGCAGAGTGTATAAAACTGCCATAGAATACAGGGGAGAGGTGTTTGAGGCTGTATGAGCAATTTAGTCTTGCATTGCTTTGCATGTTACTGTAAATTATTTTATCAACTTAAAAATAATATTTATAAAATAGCATACTTTGTATAACCTATTTATATATGTTTTACTGTGATTTTAGTGTCACGAATGTACTACTTAGGAAATAAAAATAAATATGCAAGATTAAAAAAGTTATAATGGCTTTTGTATGTCTGTATTTCATTGATACCTGTGGTTGTGCTTTAACACAGTTGTTGGTAGACTGATGGATTTGGTTTTATTTTTCATGCACTAAACACATACCAATTAAGGGTATGTCTTGGTCTAAAAGAAAACTAATTAGTTGGATTTTTTTATGGCTTGAAAGATCTCCTTGCAGAGAGAAGGTAGAAAAGAAAGGGACAAGGGATAAAGAACAATGACATGTAGTTGCATAAATGGTCATGTTGAAAGATCTATAAGGACACAGCAGGGGGCAGAAGCAGGAACACAACAGGGATTCTTTTTAAAACCAAGTTAAAGGTTTTGTTTTTTGTTGTTTTTTATTTAGAACCTGGTTGTCACTGCTGAAAGATGTATGTAATTATAAAAAAAAAAAAGGGTTGTAAAGCCTTACAATAACATATCTTTAAAAATACCATGGTAAACCAATGGAAGACAAATTAATTAATCTTCACTAACTTAAAGGGACACTCCAGGCACCAGACCACTTCAGCTAATTGCACTTAGTGCTGCAATGTAAAAGTTCCAGGGGTTCCAGAATCCAAACCGACCTTTGGTTGGTTATCAGACACTGAACACTTCTCCTCGGTGCTGTGGGGGTTAATTCTCCTGCAGCATGGAGTCTGTAACGGACCGTTTTGCACAAAAGGGGTAAAAACCGTTTAGGCGATCGGCCCCCTTTCCAGAGATGCAGGCACAGCTACTGCAGAACACCAAACACACAAACTGCATACAAGGGAATGCTCCAAACACCCGAACTGCATACAAGGGAATGCTCCAAACACTCAAACTGCATACAAGAGAATGCTCCAAACACTCGAACTGGAACCTCACGAATAGCTGCTAGCAGACGAACAGGAAAAGCACCCAAGCGGCTTACACTCCTGGCAATCAGTCTCTATCAGCATACAGTAAATCCCCCCAAAGACAAGACAGAGCTCCGTGTTGAGAGTCAAGCAGTGGTCAGTTTAATGAGGGCTACCTGCCCAGTATTTATGCAGGTCTCCCACCTTGTGGACACTCCCCTAGGGGACCAAATGGGAGACTGTGACAAGGGACAGACAAGCAGACAAATAGGACACACAGTCACAGTATATTCCCACAGTGCATCCTGGCTTCCTCCCCTCTGCCCTGGGAGATAATTGAGAAGTAATTCAATTATCTCCCAAGACAAAGGCAAATCTCCTTTATGCACATGGGGATACTAAAACAAGCATTACTGTTAAAATACACCATGTAAGACACATTACATTAAAACTATACATTTAACATATCCCCAGATAGCTCAGGTCTGAGCGCACATTATTAAGCGAATGGCGCTCA